TGATTGGTAATCCTGTAATTTCACATGTGTTATTAATTATATCTGTTATCAGAAATGTTTTACATTGTTGTATCTGAATTATTCCCGATTGCTGTAAGTGTTTGGTTTTACTATATATATTGTTTTGTTTTGATGTTCCCTTCATGTTCAGGGCAAGAGTCACGCATGCTGTTTTTAAAACAAAGAAGGGGAAATTAACCCCTAAGAAAATATGAACAGTGCAATATTTATACAAAAAAAAAGAAAATATTTTTACGTAAGGCTCATCAATTGAATTTACAAAGACTAATTAATTCATTAACTTAAGGAGAAGATACGCATGTGTTTCTATCATCAACAAGTTCAAAGTAGTCACCTGTTCATTCAGCCAAACATGAGTTGCCTCCAAGAAAATTAAGCCCATTGAGAAGAAAAAGAACCTAATCACAAATTCAGCCTTCGTGGCCAAAACAAAACCAGAAGTAGGAGTGCCAAGACATGGCTGTGCCTGGAAATTTACAGGAAAATTGCCAACAAAAGCCTTGTGTCAACATCATGGTATAGTGTTCCTACTAACCTTCTTCAGTTATTCCCTGTTCCAGGATCCAAGAGCACATTCAGTGATGTCAAAGATCAACATTTCCAGCTAATGGACTATTTGGACTTTAAAACAATGCTCATTTCTTTCCATTTCCCTAGGACACACTGGACATTATTCTTTTGTTTCCTCATGCTGTGAAACCCTGTGTCCATGACATGATAGAATTTGCTAAGTTTTGTTGATTGTAATCGGTCTTTTGTGTATCTTATCCCATATCTAAGAGATAACCAGTAATAACCTTAATGAGATAACACCCTCACAAGAGAGAGCTATATTAATATCAGAACATATGAGCCTTTTCTGAATTAACAAAAAAGGGTGAGATGTTGCAGTCAGGTAGACAAATTATAAAAGGCTTCATAAAATCAGGTCTTGCTCTCTGCTAAATTAATAGCTAGCCTGTCACTTCTTCTATGTGCAGCTAAGTAACTTGCTTGTTCCCAGGTGAAAACAATCTTAAACCTGAAAACAATTAACACAACAAGCTATTCTGGTAAGAGAACCATTTGCACCTGCAAGAAATAAGAAATCTGTCCTGCTGGGGACAAGGACGTTCATTCCCTTCCAGGAGCCCAATGCCCGGCTGGGGCTCCAGGGCAGGGGGTCCTTGAGCAGCTGCCCCAGAACCTCCGCCAGGGTCTCCCAGCGCAGCCGGAGCCGCTCGGCCTGGGGTCCCCAAAGGCCTCAGCGAGCCCCAAGTCCCTGCCAGGAACCCTCAACTCCCTCCAAGCCAGCATCCCCCACAGCCCCTGCAAGTTCCCCCCATGGCACCGGCCGTGGCCGTGTCCCCACATGTCACTGGCCATGTCCCACCATGTCCTCACCCATGGCTGTGTCCCCACCATGTTTCCATCCCTGTCACTGTCTCCCACATCTCCATCCCCATGGATGGCCACATCCCCCTCCATGTCCATGTGTACCCATGTCACTCTTCATGTCTGTGTCCCACCATGTCATTGTCCCCCCATTTCCCCACCCATGTCTCAGTTCAGTGTCTTTATTTTTACCCAGTGTTGGATGTTTTAAAGGGATGAAGAGAAATGAAGAGCAAATCAAAGCCAAAAGAAAAGGATTTCTATGTCCGTGCTGGCTGAGGATCCACGTGCTTGGGTGGGAGGGAAGAACCTTTTCTGAAGGGGTTTCCACCCCACTGTCTCCAAAATCTTGGTCTTTGCCCCAATCCATCACCATTTTGTTGTGGAAGACACCCTTTAGTAATAGGAAATCAAAATTGTGAGATCACTGAGATTGGAAAGGACCTCCAAGACCATTCAGTATTCCTGGATGCCACCACAAGATAGGAGTGAACACAGAAGATTTCCTAGGGTTGAAAGTCAACAAATCTGCTCTCCCCAAGGAATTCCCTGTCGCCGGTGGGACCCTCCGTGAGACCCCAAAATTGCCCAAGCAGTTCTTGGCAACAAGGCACGCTTGTAAGCCTTGCCCACATAAAATTTTGCTTGCAAAGTGCCTTCTGAGCCAGAAGAGATAATGATCGGAATAAAAATATAGGATTTTTTCCATATCTTTATTCTACGAAGGGGTCCAGTCTATCCAGTCTAGCATATTCAACAGGTGGGGTTTCTAAGGGGTTTTTATATGTTTTGAAGGTTTTACATTTTGCACCAATTACCAAGGGAATTCTAAAACTGACCAATCTACAAAGGACTTTAGGTAAGAAACTAACCAATTAATTCACGAGGAAAATGGACCACTAATATTACAAAAAGATAACATGAGGGTCTACCAAGGGGGGCAGAATATCTTTTGGCATTCGTCTCTCTGAGCAAGCAATTTTTCATCTTAAAGATATCGTTTTCCATGGGGCCCTTTCCAAAGACACAGAGAGGGTGTCTGCTTTGGGAATGGTTTCTGCTCCCTCCACAATTCCCAATGTCAGTTCGGGTCCCAGTGGAATTTCCTGCCCCTGCATTCATCCACATGTCCACAGGGAGAGAGGATGATGCAGAGCCCCCCCAGCCAGGTGTCTTCCCAACACGGATCATCAGGACCACGGATCACCAGGGCTCTGCCCAATGGGGGTCACTGGGGATCATCCAACACCAATCCTCCCATGGGGGATGGAGCTGGAGCAGAACAGAAGCTCTTCCCGAATTCAGGGCACTCTCAGGGCTACCCTTCGTGGAGCGTCCGTTGGTGTTGGGTCAATGCTGAGCTCCTGGAGAACCTCTTCCCACACTCAGGACACTCGTAGGGCCTCTCCCCAGTGTGGATGCGCCGGTGCCTGATGAGGGTGCCATTTTCCTTGAAGCCCTTCCCGCAGTCGGGGCAGCGGAAGGGCCTCTCCTCTGTGTGAATCCGCTCATGTTTGAGGAGATCAGAGCTGGTCTTAAAACTCTTCCCACACATAGGACACTTGTAGGGCCTCTCCCCAGTGTGGATGCGCTGGTGCTTTCTCAGGTCAGAGCTCCATCCAAAGCTATTCCCACATTCCAAGCAGGTGTAGGGCCGTTCCCCTGTGTGGATCACCTGGTGCTGGATCAGGCTGGAGCTGTTTCTGAAGCTCTTCCCACATTTCCCACACTCATAGGGCTTTTCCCCAGTGTGGATCCTCTGGTGCCGGATCAGGCTGGAGCTCCACCTGAAACCCTTCCCACATTCCAAGCACTCGTGGGGCTTCTCCCATCCAGGAGGCTTCTCCACCAGCTCTGAGCTCCGCCTGGATCTCCGGCCACCTTCCCGGCACAAGGAGGGTTTTTCCTCCTTGCAGCTCCCTGGGTTAGGTTTGCAGCCCCTCCTCCTGCGAGAACGCTGGGGCTTTTCCTCCTCCTTCTGCCCATGCATTGGGAAAGAAAAATCCTGGTTTGGGGGGGGAAAAAAAAAAAAGAGAGCTTTGTGCTGGGGGTTCTGTTTTGACCAAGCAGAACTCACAAAGTCATTGCACATCTTCTATCTGTAAAGATGTCCAAAATACCAAATCTTCTACAAACATCATGACAAACACATCAAAAACTACCCAAACAGCAAGATTCAGCCAAAATCCCCTCCAAAATCAGCCAGCGCAAAAAACCCAAAGTACCAACTTTTAGCCAAATAAAGCTCACAAAAACCAAGATTCACCTGTGAAAATTGTCGATCCCCCTCCCCTGTCACCTGCTGCATGTGGGGGGAACACCACTTCTAGGGCTTGGCAGGGAGGCTGCACATACAGGGATGGGTGGAACATTGTGCTGTTTCCTGTTTCTACGCTTACTGCACCTCCTGTGTCCCTACT